AAATGGAAGTAAAAGTATTTGATATTGTAAATCAACTCAGTTACTTCAATAACCAACTGCCGGTTCACTGACTGCTACGTACAGAGACGTCCAGTTCTGTTTTAAGGATGGAGAGGTGGATGAACGGAGGGATGGATGGAAGAATGGATCGCTAAAGAAGAGTACAGATAGACCAGTGAAACATGAACTCAGTGCCAATCCCGTCCGAGCGGCTGAACTGCTGGCGGTGAGAGAAGCAAAGGGTCAAAGTTGAGGTTAAAATCAAAACTTCAAAAATTATTAAAGAACAGGATTTTTATTTTATTTTTTTTTGTATTTTCTTTCTTGTCAATAACAACAACCCCTCCCCCCTTCCACTCTATCTAGGTTAAGAGAGCAGTGGTAAGTGGCCAGCGGCATGCTGGGAGTGTGGGCGGTGACGCTGTGAATGTGTTGGTGGGCAGGAAATTGGCTGCATTTGCCAGCTGCTCAACGACAACGCTAAATATTAGATCGAAAGCTGTCCTGAAGAAAAAGAAATTAAATAAAGCAGCAGGGAGAAGCATTTATTTTATTCATTTATTAAATTAACTACTTTGTGTGTTAGAATCTTTTTAAAGGGCAGTTTAACTTCCATCAGTCAGGGCTTTAGGTCCTGACTGGTAATGATCATCTCTGTCAATCTATTTATTTACAAAACAACAATGTTTATAGAGATATTATTATTCAACTTGCTGTAGAATCATCTTCCTGTTTGATACGCAGTTGTTCTGGATGCAGTTACTGTCTGTGTTTACTACTAAATCACCTAATTCACCTAAGAAGGAACAATTTATGTGAATTTAAGAATGTATTTTCACATAAACATCTACTTTTGCAAACTTGGACTTTTGTTTTTCAGCAGCATGACTCATATGTAATTATTAAAGTTGCTGACTAAGCAAATTGCCTCAGAAATCACGCCAGGTTTCTCAGCATGCTTCACAACTGGCTCGTTTCCTCTTGGTATAATGATAACATTGTACACTGGGCGTCTCTCAGACTCTAGACTGTGATGGCATTTTATTTTTAAACTCTCTTCTGCTTCCTGTAGACACGGGGCAGAGAGCGACCCCGCCGCTCCGAATTTAATGCTAATGGTCCGTTGTTCCTGCTGTGACAGCATCTTTGTCGTGGAGGAAGCTCTATATGGAGTGCAACTTGATTACAAACCCCACCTGTCGCCCACTCACTCCACCCTGACGATCAAAGACAGGAGCATCGCTAAGAATCTTCTATGCTATTTCAATGGTATTTTTTACAACCACAACCATTCAACTTAGTATCATATCATTTAGAGCCCCCACCTTTGGGGCGCCCATGATCAAAGACGAAAACACAACGCATGAATCAATGCAACTTGAATTGGGCGTCTAATCTTACTAATTTAACCAACAGAGTCGCCCCCTGGTGGCTGTTTCCCATTCTAGTCTATATTTATATATACTAATACTTGATCTCTGGCCATAACTCTTCCACGGTCTTGACCAAATGCAGCTTCTCTTGTACATCATGAGCTGCTGTTGTTGTCATCAACTGACAGAATGAACAACAACAAAAAACAGATCTGACACACGGACGTTAAACCGGGATCAGAGGCTAAAAGTGAAGATGATAATGAGTCTCATTCTCTCATTGATTTTCCTCTGATTATGTTCCAGGTTTTCATTTGGAATTAAGTGAGTGGGCACTACTCCAAGGCAGATTCCATGCACGGTGGCCACAAGTTGTTTAACTTGGTGCTGGAACCTGCTGTGAAGTTAATTAGCTGGGGATTCTGGTTGGTGGGATTCATTACACAGATGATTGAGCAATAAATCTTAGAGCTTAGAGACACAGCTTTGTGAAAGAAAACTCTGAGCAATAAACTCTGACCGTTTAAAAATATAAGAAAGTTGATAAGTTTATAAAGTTGTTACCAACGGTGCAATTCCTTTTGGTGAAAAAAATGTTTGTATTGGTTTGTAAAAAAATGAGTAATATGTAGTAATATTTAATGTAGATAAAAGTCTCAAAACAACGCCTTCATCGATCAAGACCACAATCAGCTTTTCAGGACACGCTCACGACAACACACCGCCCCTCTGTTCCCCGCTCCCTTTTTCCCATGTCAGCTGTAATGTTGTTGGCTGGTGAACGCTAACACAGATGTCCACGGCAACAGGTGCCACAGGGTCGTTGTCAGGGCAACAGTGGCTCCTAGCATCAGCTGTTCTATTGAAGTTTTGACAGACAGACAGACAGACAGAGAGAGAAAGAGCAAGTGTCTGCAGAAATACTGAAAACTCACATGGAACAGATACTCGGAGAGGTTCACTAACAACAGTTGCCATGGGGATGGTATCTAAACGAACACATCGACAACAGCGTCCATTAGGATACATCCATGTGGCTGCAGTATGTACAGTCACAGCCACTGGAGTCTCACGCCAAATGGAGAGAGCACAAGTTCAGTTCGTATACAGCCTGTGGTCCAAATGGGCGTCTGGTTATTCTGGCCTTCTCCTAACAAATTACATTACATATCTGGGCAGCCATGAAAAAAAAAACAATAAGTGTGAAAATATTTGAGGATGACTCATCTGCTGAGAACAACAGTAAAATCTATCACAGGTGTGAGACATGTAATGAGCAACAGAGACATCAGTGACTCAGCCTTTTGTTATTTGGATGAGTCATGGATTTATAGGCTGATTAATGAGCCCCTTCATTAGCAGTGAACTGGCGCAGGTGCAGGACACGCAGAGACAAATGAGGAAAACCCTCCTCTTGGAAATTATTTCGAGCTAGAAAAAAAAAAACATACAGACATAAACTATTTTTCGAGAAGTAATTATTTACTTTTTAGATTTTCAAGATGGTGAATTAGTCAAGGCTGACTGTGTATGAATGTCCTTAGATGCAAGGCTTCACATCACAGGTCTTGTTTTTTTTTGCTTGGCTGTTCACGTTATTCAATGACTACACTCCTTGTTTACAACGTAAATATAGATGCTTCACATGGCAGTGTGTGTGTGTGTGTAGCAACTTGGAAGTTGTCGTGCAATCAATGTTAGTCAATTTAATTGCTTTGCCATCAGGCGGCGAGCCTCCACTCTCCTAACCTTCTAACATTCGTACACCTATAGTGAGTGCAGGGAGCGCAGGCCTGGAGATGCTGGCGATCTGTCGCCGCTTGTGCATTTGTTCATTCCACGGACTGGCTGAAACTAGTGAAAAATATGACTTCTAGGAATTAAATAAAAACTTTAGTCACTTGGAAAGTCAAGAGTCAGGTACACAGGAATTTAAAATTTGTAAAAGAAGTAAAAAAGAAAATCCTGCGCGTTGTGATAGAAAAAATAAATACAATTTCTCGTTCCAGTTGGTCAAGTAGTTCACTTACTGTAACTCCGTTTGTTTAAAAAGCAGTTTATTTCTGTGCCAGCTCCCTGAGACACTGGAGCTGTACAGCGATGTGAGTCATGTACTGTATAAAACCCAATCACACAAAGTCAAGGTGGAAAACTGCAGCAACACTTTCAGGGAGCAGTTAAATGAAACCATTAAAACCTCTGTCTTTCTTTTCACTCCGCTGCTAGAACAGTTACAGTCCTCAGTGCAGTGAGCTTCTAAGAAGGAATGGTTTATGTCACATGAAAAACAGACATTTATTTTTATCTGTGTAAAAAGTGTTAACATTCTACAAATACATTCTCGTAGCTGAGATGACTAAAAAGACGACCAACCGATCAAGTTTTACTTTATATTTTCTTTCAAACATTTTGCAAAAATTTCCCTTTTTTTCCACTTAAGAACTGATGTCATGAGCTGCTGATCATTTATGTAGTTTAAAATGTAAAATTAAAACTACAAACAATTTTGAATTTGCTTGGTGGAGATTGTATTTTTACTGCTGTCCTTCCATTGCAGTGTGTGCAGGTCAGATGGAGTTAGACACAGTACATAGTGTACATAAAGTGACATCATACCACTGCAACATTTAGCGCCTGACTATTTTTTTTTAAATCGAAGGAGAACTGTCCGTTTATTTATTTATTTGATTTATTCTGTTTATTATTTTGGTATTTGGTAAATTGTGAAACCATCAAAACCACCAGTCAAACCAAGTATCCAATGCAGATGGTTATTCAAGGAACTCTTAATATATTTTTATTATTATTTAAAATACATTGCATTGATACAAATTCACCTTCTGCTGGGTGTCAGTGGTTTTGGACCTGGTGTCTACCACAGGTTCAGTGGATCCTTATCACACAGTGTGATTTGCAACGATCCTTTAGGGTGGCTGAACTCGTCTGCAGGAGGCATCGTGTGCTCGCGCACATACACTCCTAAACTGTGCATTACATAAAGCTAATCAATGCACTGGCAGCTATAAATAATTCAGACTTTTCCACCACCATCCATCACCAGCAGTGATGCTGCTGCTGCTGCTGCAGCTCAGAGCTGCTGAGGGGACTGCGGTGAGCCGAAGCCGGCCTCTTCATCGTCCCTTCATCACCAGTATCTTCCTCCTCCGGCTGCTGCCTCTCCCTGTGTCACCTGCAAGTCGGACAGCAGCGCAGGAGAGGAGATGAACCTTCACCTGGCGGAGAGGATGATAACAATCGGCAGCAGGAGGAGGAAGAAGGGGAGGAGGAAGAAGAGGTGGTGGTGGATGCTGCACGTTTCACACTGTACCGCTGGAAGGCTCCAAATAATAAACAGGATCAGTGACCCTGTTATGGTGAGTGAAATACACACACAGACGCAAACACACTCTGAGCAACAGAAGCAGTTCACGCCTATGACCGGTGCAAACACACACACACTCCATCTCCATCCTCCAAACACACACACACATCAGCTGATCAGCGCCACAATCCAACATCAGAGATCACAAATAAAAACGCGATGATTTCCGACTCTCCCAGACACACTGCGTGTGTGTGTGTGCGTGTGTGTGTGTGTGTGTGTTGGTCGGGTTTGTTGTTACTGACCTGATGCTGCTTGTGAAGCGACAGAGGCGGTGAGTGAAGCGCAGAAGAGAGTCTGCAGCCAATGCTCCGTGTGAAGCCTCTCCTATATCCACACCTCTCTCCCTTTCTCTCTCTCATCCTCTCTCTCCCCCCTCTTTTGTCTCTCCACCCTCTTCCTCCTCCTCTTCCTCCTCTTTCAGCTTCCTCCTCCTGCACCATTACCTCACAGCCTCCGCTTTCCTCCTGTAAGACAAGTAAGAAACAGCTTATAGAGTAGCTGCAGCAGAGCGAAAACAAAAAAGAAATCCTTCAATTACTGTTTTATTTTTTAATTTTAGGTTGCTATTTAAATATGTATTTTAAAAAAATAATAATTAATAATTAATTAATTTAAAACAATTTAATCACGTAGATAATGTTTTATGTTTATGATGTAGGTCTCACCTGCAGAGATGCAGTGACAGTCCGAGGAGGGGGCGGGGGTAGGAGGGCATTGCATTGCCCCCCCTTGCATTTAAAAAACCCCACATAAACTAATAAAAAAAAACCCACAATGACAAACTACTGCAAATATCCTTTTCTATTCTTTTCCCCCTCAGTATACACACATGATAGAGAACTTTTTTTTTTTTAAATGTATGATGGTGGATGGGAAAACAACAAACTAATTTGAACCATTTCATCTTGAAACGTCAGCAGTTAGCAAGTTAGCGTTATTCCATTCGATCCATTTCACAGGGCTGTAGGGCCGGGGCGTCAGACACTAGTGGAGATGAGCTAGAGGCAAAAGTTGCTTTGGTTTGTTTTAAGTAAAAATGTCCTTGTAAACAAAACCGCTCTCAGTTCATCAGCCACAGAAACAATGCAGCAGCTGCTGTTGTTGTTATTGTCCGTAATGGCAGCGGTGATGATGATGCCTTCAGCAGACACCGCGACTGTTTGTGGCTGCAGACCGCTAATGTGACGTCTGGCCTAACGCTAATGCACTCATTGTTAAAGTGTCATTACCATCGTCATTTATCAAAGAGCAAATACACTCTGAGACACTCGGCAAACACAGGACAGGTGCTGCCTGCTGCTCTCCGCCGGCTCAGGATGACAACAAGCCTGGGCTTTTCAACGGCCGACAAGATGAAAAAAGTGATGAAAAGATGAATGTCGGCAGGGAAAACTGAAATCAGACCAAGGTCAGTCTGTTTTCAGAGGGTAACGTCACTTTAGACTTTAGATTACCCTTTTTATATTTAAGGACTACTCAGCTGTGAGGTGTGGGTTTAGTTCAATGGGCAGAGAGGTTTATTCACATGTCCTTAAGCATGAGTTGGCAAACTGCTCCCTATGTCCACCCTCGAGGGGGAAAGGGAGGGGGCACAATCTGTTCTTTCTTAATGCCAGTTCGGCGGCTAAACAAATGTGTCAAAAAAAGAAAAAAGAAAAATGCATCCGGTGTGAAACTCTGAGCCAAATCACATGTGCAGGTAATCCACTGGAGTTATTCTCATTTAATTAGAATACTTGTTGAATATTAATTCAAATTCAATGACAATAAAACAACCTGTTAGAATAGGAATAAGAAACCGACATCACATCACATCCATCTGGAGCAGAGACGTGTGGAAGACAGTCTCCTGATAAGAAAATCATATTACTGCTGCAGAAAAATGACTTGTGTGTCCCATAAAGACAGGGGTATTCCTGTGCTGCACCATGCTGAGTGTTTTATAACCACATTAGCAGCGGCAGCAGCAGTGCTGCTGAGCAGCTGTTGCTCAGAAACACAGTTTTGGACAACACTGAGTAATTCATACAGTATTCATACAGACATTCTACCGTGTGGGTTTTCTGGTGTTTTCGTACTCCATCTGTTCACACACTGTGTGTTTTCACATCGAATCTCCAATGATGTTGGAAATCTATTTTACTCAGAACATGTTCTGATTTTAAAAAAAGTGTTGAACCATATCCTTCAGGGACAAAGAAAAACCATCGATGGGAAGTCTGAAGCGTGAAACATGAACGGAGTGGATGCTGAACTGAGTTACTGTTGATAAACCAGTCAGCTGGTGATCTTCAACTCTAACTTTTTCTCTTCTTCCTGTGGCCCTTGCCCCCAACAGTCGTACTAAAGATGAATCATCCCCCTTAGAACAGTCACCGTGCAATAGGTGACGTGTATTATTAACGAGCATCTTCTTACGAGGACGAGTAGACAACGAAGGTCAGAGAGGATCGACTTTCACACAAATCCATAAGCCAAGTAACATGATCCTCCAGACTTTTAATTCTGCGCTGCCTTCTAGGTCTGTGATTAATATCATCACATTACGATCATTACTTTCAGAACAGTAAGTACACTGTTTTGCACTCTGTGATGGATTTCACTGATTTCACTGCAGATTTTAAATGTCTTACGATGAATGAGTTTTATAAAGACGCCCCGCCCGTCAGGCTGCTGTGTGGAAACACGTGAAGCAAAATAAAGTGTATACTGCTTTCTTAATCCAAGAACAAGCTCAGTCGAGCAATTCTAACACAAGTGACTTAGGGACCTGCTGTGTGTGTGTGTGTGTGTGTGTGTGTGTGAGACGATAACAGAGGATGTAGAGAAACAAGTGTTTATCCCATGCAAGTGCAGAAAATCCAATAAAATCCACTATTGCAGAACTGACTGGCTCCTGCAGATTAAAGTCAAAGTCTATTACTATTACTTTAGTTAGTTACATTGTTCAGTTACATTGTTTTACTAGAGTCGTTACTAAGCACTTTCCCAATTTGTTTAATCATTTACAATTTTTCATTCATAGTTTATACCGTTTATGGTTATACACTTTTTGGAAAAATTCTAACAGATGAAAAATGTCTCTAAAAGTAATTTTGATTTGCCACCATTGACACACATCCTGTTTTTTTGCCACTTCTTACAATGACAAAATCCCAATCAATTAAAAATAAGACAACAATTATATAAGTGAAACAATGTGTGACATTACAATGGTAGACGGTAAAACCAAGGTTGGTGTAGATAAAACCATCAAGACTGGGTTTTCATTTAAAGGATGACAAAAAAAAAAACGTCCAATGCAAAAACAGTCTAAGACCTCCTCCAGGCCCCGCCCCCATCTATTACCTCCTTCCTTTTATCTTTAAATAACTTTAATGAGCTCCGGTGTTCACTTATGATGATGAGCCAGATGATACATCGGCCTTTCCCTAAAATATACACCATTTGCATTAACATCCTGAAACCTTCTCCCAGTTTTTTGCTCATGGACAGGTTCTATATTTGTTTGAGTTAATTTTAGGTCTGCTTCCTCCTCCCTCCTCCTCCTCTTCCCTCCTCTGATGAGTCCATTAGTCACAGAGAAGACTCCAGTTTATCACTGGCGAACAAGGCGTCGCACCCGCTGCTGTGGATGATCCATCACTGTTGATAGTGGCTCTATTTAAAAAACACAAGATCCATTGCAGCCTCTTGCTTCAAATTGTTACAAAAACAGCCAAAGAAGAAGAAGAAGAAGAAGAGGAGGAAGCAGAGGTCTGCGACAGAAGGGCAGTGGTCTTGTCAAGAGACTTGTTTAAGTGTCACATATGAGAGAATAACAAGCTGTTGGAGTCATCAGGTGAAAGAGGTCATTGTTCAAGGATGAATGTGTAGATTAAGCTCAAATTAAGCTTGTTAGAAATTCAGGCTGGGTCACATCAGAAGGCGTGAACCAGTTCTTTTAGTAGCTGTTGACAGTTGATGACCTTTGACATCAAATTACACTCCTGCAGTTATATTAGCTTTTTATAGACATTTTTTAGTCACTCAGGCTTCACCAAACAGTGCACATCACAGTGGAAGTCCCAAAATACAGCAACAAACATTCAAAGGGGTTAGAGTATAGTTGAACATAAGTGTAAAAATATGGATATGATATATTTTAGGTGTTAAGAGAACTGGATTATTCACGTATTCAGGTTGGTCTTTCTGCATTGGTGCTAAATTCAGATTCGCAATCGAGAATAACTAATAGACTTAAACTTTCTCATTTGAACATATCCTTTTGTTGCCAAAGTGTAAATGGAGCATCAGGGTCGCATTGACAGAAACAGCTGAAGCAACGTCGAGAATTATTTTGCAATGTTTTTTTTTTTATATAAGTTTTTTTATATCATGGATATTCCCAATAAACTGACAATGGGAGGAACAGTGAAAAGGGCAGCTTCATCTGTTGTTCCTGATCTGATCTGAACACAGTCACAGAATTGGACTAGGGCCAGACGACTTGATTTAATTTTTCCTAAGGTCACCTCAGTAAAAACGTAAATGAAACAACAACAGACAATATGCTGATGTTCTTGTTCAAGTTTCTATTTGACAGTATGATTGAGGTGATCCTGAAACTTCAGTAAACCGAGGTTCAGCATAAAGTGGATGATGTGACTTTGTGACAAAGTTCTTTGTTTTTAATCAGAGCAGAGAAAGAAGAAATTGAAGTGTCCGCTCTCTGTGAGCTGGATGCTGCCTTTCACACTCCTCACTGTCTGTGTGTGCGCACGCGTGCGTAGATCATTGTGTTTCTCCTGTTTATCTGGAGTTAGTTTGGTTCAAAGTGCCCAAAGCCTTGTGGCTGTCAGCAGTTCACCGCCCCTGCAGAAAGGAAAGCCCTGACTCCTGCACTTTCCGCCTAAAGCATTAAATCTGCGTCTTTGTCCATTCAACATCTTTCAAATAACAAACCTCTGCATCTTCTGCTATTTTCTGTGATAAATGCTGAAGAGTCAGGTGAAAGTCTTTGGAGCTTTTGCCCAGGGATGGACAGCCACACACACACACACACATTGTTATTGTTTAAAATGGGACACTGGGAACACTGTCGAGCAAACAGTACTGCTGCTCCCACCCACCAAACACAGCTAGATTCGCTTGAAACTAAAG